AGCGTTATCCCGGCTTCTACCATGTCCACGCCGCTGTCTGGGACCGGGAAGTATCTGACGTAGATCGCACATCAGGGGGCAGGTCAGAACGCTCCTTAGAGAAGCTGCCCTCCCCTGCTGAGCTAACGGTGCTAACTGTGCAGCGCCGCTGGGGCCGTACATCACCGGCCGACACCGTTGCCGCCAAAGTGGCAATTTTAAGTGATCCATTTATCTTGCATGAAGGCTTTAAGCAGCGTGTGGCAAATGCTTTCCGCCACTCACTGTGGAAGACAACCAAGTCTATTAGAGGCTCCTGAGTTATAGCGGCAATGTCATGAGAACGAAGGTAAAGACAAATCAACCAGTTTTTAAGTGATAACAATCAGACAGGTACGGACCATGACAACGAAAAAAGAGAAAGAAAGATTATAACAAATACTGCATCATTTGCGTACGCAGAAGACACACGTACATTTTGCAGCATGCAAGCGCCAGGACAAGTTGTACTGCTGTTCTTGCGTTTATTTTTGTGATGTGCTCATATATATATATATATATATATATATATATATATATATATATATATATATATATATGACGGAGCATATCAGTGCCGTCTGTGTCAGAATATTATTAAAGCCAATGTTCCACATTTGAAGATACCGAGGTAGGCGTCAGATATGATGGAGATATGATGGGAGAAGCTTACTTGTAACTGCTGGTAAGCTTTCAAGGTTCAAAAACGACGATGAGTAGCGAAATTTCAAGGGTTGTAAAAATGCGCTCCACTACGTCATTATTCAATGGCGTCATGGAATGGTTTTGTAACAACAATACCTGGCAGCATCTGACAGTCAGAATTAAAGAATACCTCGAAACGCACGAAAGCTGACGCCAACCGGCCATATTCTGGTAACGGGCGCTGTGTGGGGTGCCGGTTTAGTGAGTGGTTTGTTTGTGGATCTTTGGTTTTGGTGCTGACCGTAAGAAAAGCTTTGGTGAACTGTTTGACACACGTAACATAGCGATCGCCAGCATTTGTGGCAGATTTTTAATATCAAAGCAAGATATGCCGTGCCGTTGCTGTTGCTTCTATGCTTTTGATGAGTCTGTCAATACTGTGTTGCCGACCTATTTTTGCCTGCAGTGCCGTAGTCCTGACATCGACATCATACGATGTCACAGTAGTTACTTTCTTTATCGTTTGTAAATGGAAGTGGGAAATTGTCTCGGGTTCGTGCAGAAATGAACAGTACAGCAGAAATGAACATACGTTGCTATGCATTGATTGCTAAATCATTGTTATTGCTATCGTAAAGACGGTAAGGTTGGGCTGCCAAGAACCTTTTTGTTGCTTCGGATTATTTACGCAACTATTTGTAAACCCTGATATCACCATTGTGGTTTAATGACATTCTTGCTGTTGATAGCTTTGCTTTGGCATTGTTAAATCAGCCGTTACCAGTCATTCATAAATTATAAGCTGCTGTCTCATAGGCTTGACATAGAGTAGTCAACCAATGTGGTACCTTGTGTAATGGCACGGGTCAACAGCGTCTTTGTGACACTACCTCAGTGCTGCACTGTGACATGACATAATGCACAACGATATGGTTTTGTACTGCAATCCCTGCTGCTTTCATAATAAATTCCGTCATGAAAAGATGGGTCAAGCGTGCACTCTTGTATTGACTCCCCGTCTGACATATGACTGACCAAAAACATATGATACAGTATACAAATCACTTTCAGCAAAGCAGACAACAAATAAGTGTCATCACTTGCTCATCCATTTTTGGTTTTGGGAATCTATAAAACGTAGGTGAGGAAGATGCCAACACGTCTTCCACTTCCACAGCCATGGAACATGCTGCAGCCATCAGGCTGATTCACTCGAAAATGACAGGAAAATTTTGCATGTGTCGAAATGACACTGCAAACATGCTGATCTTGCACAAGACTGGAGGCATGACAAGTACATGTAGTTATGGTTGGATGGGCAAGGGCAAGGAAGTGATGAAGCCGCCAGTGTACACAAAGCTCATGACAATATTATTAAGTGCTATCCAAGACACCAACAGCAATACTTTTTTACCTCTCTCAGCACCCAGTGTCTCACGCAAGTTGCAGTGACTTTGACATTGCTGACTTACATGCAATGCTTGCCTCCATACAAAATTTGTGAAGACAGTAGAATGTGCATCAATAAAAATACAGCGCCATATTTTCAGAATTATTTAGGGAAAGACAGCTTTGCAAAGCCGTATCATTTGAGCCTATAATGAGCATGTGCATGAATGAGCTGCACGCACCAGCCCTTACTGACAAGATAAGTTGCTGATATAATGGCATGCAATTGATTAATTACATGCTGTAAACCTCAATAGGTTCAAAATGTTGGCAAGGTCATAATGAAGTACCAAATTGCCTTTGTACACCCCTGCAACATAGATGCTAGTGTTTCTCTTAGTTTTCCGGCGCTACATTGTCATGTTCAAGCACGAACATAGGGGTAGAGGCAGGTATCGATATATCACATTTTATTGGGAGTCAGTAGACGTAAAACCTCGCACGCACACCCCCATCACACCAAGACCAATACAAGCCACTGGCGCGCACCACCAGTGATCACGCCCACTTCATGCCCCTGATTCACACTCTTTTGTCAAATACTTGTGCTCTCACAATTGCATTGCTCGCGGAACTATCGAATTGCAGGTTTTCTCGCAATTTCCGCAAACATTTTCGGTTATAACACCGCATTTCCCTGTTAGCTCCCTTCAAAACAAAGTCTCAAGGGAGGTTCATGGTAATGCAGCTCAAGAGGTTGTACTCGCACGACACCATTTTTTGTTCAAGGTTTAAATTTGTCGTACAGCATGTGTGACATACTTTGCGAAATATATCTGAAATTACTTAAATGTTTCCCTAATTTTATAATACCTTGCCAACCCATAAACCCGTGCAAGATTCTGTGCTCCAGTACACAATGCGCCATCCGAGCTGTCTGTAAGAAATACCTCAGTAGAAGAAGAAAAAAACGCCAGCAGTGGAAAAAGACAGATTGCGGTTGCGTCTACTTTTCTATATCATTCGGGAGAGTGACCGTTTTTTTGGGGTGCCATACTTTTTTTGCGGACAGCGGCGTTTTTTTATAACATTGACCTATGGCCTAGAAAGAAGGAAAAATGACCCGTTCACAACGAGTGCCGCACAATCCCAAAGTGCTCACGCTTACGTTCGCGACACGCATTCAGCAGCGAAATCTTGCTAACAGCCAATTATGTTCCGCGCATTGTATCATACGTGCCACATCATCGCTTTTGCGAATGCATCAGCGGCCATGCTGTTTTGACCATACGCAGAAAATAGCCCGTAGTATGGAGGCGATCGCATGACGTTTCTATGACGTCATTAATGCCAAGGTGACTTTGAAGTAGACTTCCGCTAAATCTTTTCGCACTTTTTCGGGCGTGTAGATCAGGAACCAGATCGTTTGGGTCTTAAAAAGGACATGCCCGTGAAATACATCAAATGGTCTTTAAAATGGTTATTTCAGTTCAAAACCCCACACAAATGTAGAACACTACCTTTAATTAATCAATTTCGGTGCTCTTTTACCCTGACCATGTTATGTGTTGCACCACATGCACCGCTGTTCCGCAATCCACTAAAAAGTACGCCGCGCTCAAAGCCTGTAGTTTTGCAAAGCTGTAACCAGTCTGGTGCTCAGGTCACTCGATATGACGTTCCTTCTCTTCATGTATAACACAATCCGTCCACATAACAGTATTTTCCTGCCATCATGTAATAGCCATACAATGCAAGAAAGAGGGTCGGCTGGCGCCAGGCGAGCGCGCGCTGCTGTGCACCGTATCTTGTGTTTCTCTTCGCTTGGGTACAACTGGGCTCTCGCGAGGTCAGGGACGTGTGTGTCGAACGGTCGACGTCAACTGGTGAAGAGTGACCTACCAAATCCATCTCATAAAGACCAGAAAGCCAGGACCAGCTGTTGACTTAACGTTGGCTCGAAGATTGAGACAATCCATGGCTGGTATGGCAGTTGATCTTTAACTTCAGAAGGAGGGTTGTCCAAGTGATAAGCTACCGCGGTATTCAATCAGCAGAGCATGACCTGCACCTATGTAAGTTCCCACAACTTTTGACGCCACTAAATCAGGACGGGTTTTGGGAAAAGACCATACCGCGTGTGATCATAGCCGACACCAGAGGCGTCGCTGAAGCCGGTACCGAAGCTTAGCCCGACGGGCCCAGCGCCACGGCCGGTATCCCCACGGTCGGCACAGCCGCCGCTCCCACAACTCAGCCTTAACCTCATCCAGGCGCGGATCAAACGAGCGAGCCAGCGCGGTGGACGACTCTTACGCTAGCCAGAGCGATAGACGGCTTGCGCCGGCAGAACAGTGGAGATAAGGAATCATCGGTGTTACATTTTAACGCGGCGGAATGAGACAAACGGCGTCGGGCAGGACACCTCGCGAAGCTTCGCTTGAGAGCTGAGCTTGGGCTTGAGAAACACATCATTCTGCTTCAATAAATCCAAGTGATTCAGTTTTCCAAAGAAGGGAACAGAATGAAGAAGGCGGATACTGACGTACAAAAACATTAAAGATTATGTAATACGTAAGGGACCAGTAAAATCCATAACAACCAGAAGACTAAAGAAGCGGACAAATCGTTTTTCAAGATTTAGTCCAACCTTTCAATTTAATGAATTTCTGGGATCACCACATACGCTAAGCAGTGCCCGTTGCGTTAACACGCGCCCGGGTGACCGGTTGGGCACCCTTCGCTCGGGCGGGAGGAGGTCAGTTTGATCCCTCACCCCCCCCCCCCTCCCCCCTACCCGAGCGCGTGTTAATCCTCGTCCGATCACTCGATCGTGAGAGTCCCGGTCAGCGGCGGACTTTCGCGACGAAAGTTCAACGTGTCCCATCTTGCCGTCTGATTTCCCTGCCTTCTACTTCTCATCAGCTTCCACACTATCTAGTACTCACGCTGTGACGACGACCTCCTGATGATGTTCTCCAGAAAAGTGTTCTGCGGTGCGACCAGGCCGCGCCGACCGCCGGGCATGGTGTCGTCGGGCCCGGTGAACCGCGCCTGTCCGCCGGCGTCAGCGGCGGCGGCCGGCCACGCGGCGCAGCGCCGCCGGGCGTCGCTGCTCGGTCCGCCGCGCCGGCACCGCCTCCGAGCCGCACCGCCTGCCAACAGCCGCCGGTCACAGTCAGCCAGGTCCGGGTCAGGTCAGGTCAGGTCCACTGACCACACGGCCGAGCGAAGATGATTGGTGTTGCAAGACTAACGATAAAAAATCAGCTTGTTAGAGAAAGAGCGATTGCTCCAATGGGCCGCTGCAAGTGCAGATAACGGCATCACATTTGCCCGACCCCGAAGTGATATCTAGGTGATGCGGTAGACTTTCACGAATCCAATAAGCCAGACACCATGTTTTGTGACTGCAACACACGTCGGTCACATCAAGGTAAATGTGCAAACTTTGTGTCTTTCATAGAAGTAGAGCCATCTGTAACGCAATATGTTCGTGTTTCAAGCAATCCGTTGCTGTTTGTGACGCCGGAGAAAAGTTTCACTGGCCAATGCGAGCACGATTGGCCAGTCTGGCGCAATTTGTGACCGGCCGACATCACCGCCCAAGAGAAGCGACCGCTGTAAAACCACCGGCATGGCAGCTGCTATGGAGATTGCAACCACTAAATTTTAGAGTAATGTCTCCCGTCCGCCAAGCGCGCTGCAAAGGAGGCGTTTAGCATACAAGCTCCATGTTGTCAGAGGCCCTTCGGAGCGAGTTCGCTTCGATGGAAAGTAACAAGCATCGGTACGCACGGTACGCAGTGGCTGTGACCCGACCTGAGCATGATACAGCTGTGACCCGACCTGAGCATGATACAGCTGTGACCTGACCTGAGCATGATACAGCTGTGACCCGACCTGAGCATGATACAGCTGTGACCCCGACCTGAGCATATACAGCTGTGACCCGACCTAAGCATGATACAGCTGTGACCCGACCTGAGCAATGATACAGCTGTGACCCGACGCTGATATGATACGCTTGACCCGCCTGAGCATGATACAGCTGTGACCCGACCTAAGCATGATACAGCTGTGACCCGACCTGAGCATGATACAGCTGTGACCCGACCTGAGCATGATACAGCTGTGACCCGACCTGAGCATGATACAGCTGTGACCCGACCTGAGCATGATACAGCTGTGACCCGACCTGAGCATGATACAGCTGTGGCCCGGAACCTGAGCATGATACAGCTGTGGCCCGACCTGAGCATGATACAGCTGTGACCCGACCTGAGCATGATACAGCTGTGACCCGACCTGAGCAATGATACAGCTGTGACCCGACCTGAGCATGATACAGCTGTGACCCGACCTGAGCATGATACAGCTGTGACCCGACCTGAGCATGATACAGCTGTGACCCGACCTGAGCATGATACAGCTGTGACCCGACCTAAGCATGATACAGCTGTGACCCGACCTGAGCATGATACAGCTGTGACCCGACCTGAGCATGATACAGCTGTGACCCGACCTAAGCATGATACAGCTGTGACCCGACCTGAGCATGATACAGCTGTGACCCGACCTGAGCATGATACAGCTGTGACCCGACCTGAGCATGATACAGCTGTGACCCGACCTGAGCATGATACAGCTGTGACCCGACCTGAGCATGATACAGCTGTGGCCCGACCTGAGCATGATACAGCTGGCCCGACCTGAGCATGATACAGCTGTGACCCGACCTGAGCATGATACAGCTGTGACCCGACCTGAGCATGATACAGCTGTGACCCGACCTGAGCATGATACAGCTGTGACCCGACCTGAGCATGATACAGCTGTGACCCGACCTGAGCATGATACAGCTGTGACCCGACCTGAGCATGATACAGCTGTGACCCGACCTAAGCATGATACAGCTGTGACCCGACCTGAGCATGATACAGCTGTGACCCGACCTGAGCATGATACAGCTGTGACCCGACCTGAGCATGATACAGCTGTGACCCGACCTGAGCATGATACAGCTGTGACCCGACCTGAGCATGATACAGCTGTGACCCGACCTGAGCATGATACAGCTGTGACCCGACCTGAGCATGATACAGCAGCGGAACAACTCCGCTGCATGGCGCTGGATTCGGCATCAGGCACCGGGTCAGTGGCAACAACAGCTAACCGGACGTGTTGACGATCAAGCGGCCCGGCCAGTCCTGTTAGTCTTCTGGCATGCTTATATCCTTGCTACCGAGCGGCACCCCGTGCCGCTTGAGCACAAGTGACACATTCTTTCAGAGCTGTGCTGCATTATTTCCAAGACACTTAAATGCAGGGCCTCCGATCGGGTGGCGTTTTTCTACAGCGTTTCAATCTCAATACTATTTCACCGCCCGCATTCGCTCACCAAAATAAAAGGAAAATTTGAAATTGTGGGGAGATTCAAGAGCGTGGGCTGGAAACAGGTGCGACCAGACGTCTACGCGACGAAGACAAAAAAGGCTGCCGGAGGAGAACACGGACGGTCGCGATGGCGACAGTGTGCATCGACGCGTGCACGATATTACAGGCGATTATATGCAAACCGTGGATTCATCTGTTTCCAGACATACGAAGGGACTGACGTCACGTCTCGGCAGGCAGAGCATGCAGAGATGTCACATCAGGTGTCTGTTGCAGGCAAATGTAGCTTGTGGCGTCTGCAAATCATCAAGCCAACTGAACACTGCCCGACCCACGGGCGCGCCAGTAACAGGCAGGCGAGCAGCCAATGTCGCCTCTTCTGAAACCTTTCTCAAATAAAAAAAACCCTGTGACTTTAACAGACGTGACTATGCAGATTACATAGATACCTACGTCAGTTTGTTTATCGCCACCGATATCCAACCTTTAATAAGATTCAAATCTTAGCATCTTCGCAACGTCTTCATGACAGACATAAAAAACGCGAGGTTGCAAATTTATTCACTTCTTTGATGATAATAAAGATACCTAGGCAGGCCCAGTCAGGCAATACTCAAACAATGGCGACTACAAAATGGTGTGCGGTGTTTATATCAATAATGTCTGTTTGATAAAATTGGATTTCACTTGATGGGCCTGATCTTACCTTTCCGACATGTGACGGAATGAGCACCACTGCTTTAAACTCGGCCACTATATGCTTCGCTCGAATACGTGTCGTTCTGTAGTTAGTGGTTTATAAATTAATTCGGAAAAACCAGTGGGCCTCTGAGGTGTCTTGCATGGCGATGGATAGCCCCACGGTCCCAACTCTCGCCCTACCCTTGCCTACACGCATTGTTAATCGTTTCCCCGCTAAATACGCACTTGTCTTCTCATTCCATAAAGGCATAGCGTTCGCATCAAGGCATGAGCGCCGCAGCAGAAATCCTTGGGTTTTTATAATTTCGTCACGCCAGGATTTATATTATACACTAAAATGAGACAAGATTTCAATATAAAGTCGGCTGGACCTCAGCCTCCAGCGTCTTTCACTTCTTATCGAGTTCCCCGGACGAACGATTATCCCTACCGTGCATAAAAGTAGTTATTTTGGAGCATGCAAAGGGAAGTGTGTGCCGTGAAAGGTGCGAATGAACTACGAGAAACTTTGGGTGTAGCATGCAAGAGAGGGATTTCCGGAAAATCAAGAATGCACTGAAAGGGTGTGGTTTGGCATCGTTCTGAAAAGTCAAAGAACTAGAAGTGGAGGATCGACCGTCCCCCCCCCCCCCCTTTTCCCCCGTTCCATGCGCTTTCAATTACAAAGCGTTTCTTTCAGTCGCTTTTGAAGCTGAGTTAAGGTCATAATCCGGATTTCTTCACTGGACATAACCTTTACATGGTAATTATTTGAGGTTAATACAATAATAATAATAATAATAATACTCACTAATATAATAATATTTAAGTCAACTGTCCAAAATCGACCTAAGTATGTTAACCGGGTATTTCATGGCATATTAATTCAATTACCCGCAGGCACATTGAGTTTGCCGTTGTCCATGAACATGGTCGCGAAAATCCCTGAGAAAAAAAAATCCGTTGAGAATGCTCTATCCGCCATCCTTGGTAAAGGTGATGGAACCATTGGGGCCTGCAAGGATTTGAAGACACGACCTGTTGAAGGACAACAACACTGACGATATACAGCTGCAAAAGTGCTTGCAAAAGTGAAAGACGTAACCATATTTGATCAACAAAACTCCAGTCACGCATCGACACAAGTGAGGAGGTATATAATTCAGCGGTCTTGTAAGAGAGCGGCAGCTGCAAGGCTGAATTATTCCTGACGTGAAAGACGGCCCGGCGTCCTGACCACTACTTCGGGCTGTGAAGTTATGAGCTGGCGGTCGTTGAGAGGCGGGGGCGCGCGGTGCTTCGGGCTTGGGATGCTGTGTCCATCATTGCTATATTCATAGCGCCGGCGGGCAGACGGACCGCCAGCGTCGTCCGGCACGTCCGTGGTGAGCACGCATTCGTGATTGCAAGCCGTGGGCCGGCTCAGTTCGTGGTGAGCTTTAATTACCTTCGGTTAATAGCCTTGCAACGACCAGCGTCAACCTTTGCGCCTCTGTGACAAGCAATGCACATCGGCTTAAGAGATGTGGCTGCATTTACTGCTGACGGGTCATCCGCACGCTACTCCACCGGCAGAGGTCATGTTAATCAGACGTTATGGCGATGTGGGCCGAATGTGAATGTGCCAGGTGGGGCGGAGGCCGGGTCCTGAGCCACGGGCAGAGGTCATGTTAATCAGACGTTATGGCGATGTGGGCCGGATGTAAATGTGCCAGGTGGGGCGGAGGCCAGGTCCTGAGCCCCTCCTCCTAAGTAAGCCAGAATTTGTACCCAGTTTGTTTTTTGTTGTGAACGCTGCGCAAGGCCCAAAAAGTCCATAGTTGTGGCATGGCGGCTACTTTGTGCCAAGGTTATCGCGCTGCCCAGCCACCGGGGAGCTCGTGGCAATAAAAACTGCCGTAGATGATGGACTTATTCAGGTCGTGCGAAAATACATTCTTATAACAAAG